CATTCTAAAGAAATTAATAGGCTTTATGACAGTTTGTTCATAAATATGGGTTGTTTGTAACTTGGATGTCCATAACTTGTGGACATATTCCGTCTGTAGGTGATTTTGTAATTTCCAAATTTGTTCACTTATTCTTGTTAGGATTTGGTCTAATTCAGTCTCTGCACCTTGGTATAGTTCTACTGGTACCCTATCTACTCCAGATATTTTATACCTTGCAAGTTGCTTTCAGATAAATGTTAACTTCACTTTCTAATATTGCAGGTTTTCCCTCACAGAAGTTCTCTTCAAGTAATCTGTCATTTGTTTGCCTCTACTATATAGTTTTTTTGTATATTGTTTCCACCTTCTCTTTCATTTATCTTGTTTGGGTTGTATGTCCCCTGTTATTCTTTCAGCATTCCTGAACTAGGTTTAAATTTTCCTTTGGTTTCCCTTTGATTTTCTGGGAAAGGTCTCTTAATTTTTCTTGTTTATTGCTCTCTTTATTTGCACCAAGCAAATAGTTGTAATAGTTCTCTTTGTCTTTCTGTGATAGTCACCAAAAAATTGTATTTGGGATTCTGTGCCCATGTCTGCCATGTTTTGCATCTTGCCTGACCTTAGCTATTGTGAGAGTTTCTTCTGTCATCTATCTAGCTGTTTTCTTTTCTTGCTACACAAATTGTCTTTTTGTACTCTTCCCTAATAATGTTTCTGTCCACAGTTCTTCTGTTTCATGATCAGTTGAATTTAGTAATGCCAATATGTTCCTTATGTGGACTTTAAACTCATCTCCACCGCCCCGAGCGTACCCATCTTCCCTGCATGAGCACGACCACGATCACGCCTGTCTTCCCCCTGCGACCTCACTCATGATCACATCTGCCTGCCCCTGAGCATGCCCGCAATCGCACCCATCTTCCCCGATCATGCTCCCGATCATGCTCCCGATCATGCCCATCTCCCCTCTCCCCAAGTGCACCCACAAGGACTTTGAAAGGGTATAACAGTGCAATCCTGCTCATGTCTACTTAAAAGTATAGTACTGATTTTGAGGCTTATTTTTAGAAGTAGTAGATACAGGGTTAGAACCTTGAATAATTGAAGGGGAAGGAAAAAAGATGGAATTGCAGGAAGTACAAAGAAAGATTGTAGAATTAGCCAGTTGTATGAAAATTTCTAAGTTCTAAGTTGCGAGCCCTGCCAACATTAACAACGTTGGCACAGTGGGCATAATGACAAGCCATGTAAAAACCACATGACTGTCTGAGCACAAGGTCCCAAGGTAAAAAAGCCAAGCTATGTGGCATAGTTTAGCTTTATGTGTGAATGCATCCAGTGTGGAGAAGGGATAGACCTGGAAGCATATCTGCATGAAGATATTTCCATCTTTCAGTTTGTTAGCACTTTTCACTTATGTGTAGAATTCCATGAAACTGTGTGTGATATTTTGCTTCTAAGACAATCAGATCTGTACAGAACAATTTAGTTGTAATTTTAAAAAAGTTTTCAAGCATCACAGCCTATGAATCCAGAACTTGACTTACACTGAGTGCACTATTTCCTGTCTGGGTTTTTTTCTCACGAAAGATGAGATTGAAGACAACAACATGGGGTGAAAAATCTGAAAGAATATATATCTGAAGTGAAACTTTGCATCTCAGGTTTTCATGATGATAAAGTTTACTAAATCGTTCCAAGTTTGCATATTTGCAATACCATGTGTGATGTGTATGAAAAATGATGATGCCACTAGTGATAAGATCTGTTTTGCTTAGGCAGCAAAACAAATGTACTCATAAGTAGTCCCATTGGTATGTGATTTGCAAACTTGCATAGTCATTTGCAACTTGTGACCTCAACTCCACAGGCATAGAGGCAGAGTGATATGATGCCACACCACACATCTTGATTGTGAGTGGTATTTGCTTGCTCTAGTGAGTGATTGACTACTGGTCAGCTGTGAACTTTTCCTGTGCATGGGGATTAGTTGTGATCCTATCTCCTAACTTGCCAAGAGTGTTGTTTTCTGGGGCTGTGGATTGCCAATACCCAATGCCCCTCTGTTCTTTTCTTTTTAAAATAATTTTTATTTACTTAACAGATACAGATACACAAAAGAAAATGTAGAACAGAAGGAAACTAATATAAACAGAACAGACTAAAGTGAACAAAATAGACAAACTTGCCAAGGGAATTTTAAAAAAATACAACCTATGTATTGCAGGCCCCAAAACTGACTCTCTTCCTATCTTCCTACATCTATGAGAGTTTATCCCCTCCAAAAAGAACAAAACAAAACAAAGCATTATTCCATACATCAACAGATTTTCCAATCAGTTCAAATTCTACTGCTTTTCTTTTTCCTTTCCAAACTCCCCTGAACTTCCATTAGTTATGCTAAAATAAAATAAAATTTTCATTTGTCATTAAATTCTTTTAACAGGCTTCTGTTTACATAATTAGCTAGCTTTGCCATCACTGCATATTCTGCTAATCTATTTCTCCAGTCTTCAATGGTTGGGGGCATCAGTGCCCCTCTTTTCTCTGCTGTGTGTCATGCCAGATCAGGCAAAAGGAAACTGGTCTGTGAAGCTGGATAGGAAGATGCTGACTATGCCCAGTCCTCTTCTCCACCTTTGTGTCTTCACTCATGTTCCAAGCAGCCCCTTGTGGCATGAGCTTTTAGTCTGCTGCGTAAGCACAATTCCAGACCCAATTCAAGGTGTTGGTTATGACCTATAAAGCCCTCAACGGCTTGGGACCTGGTTATCTAAAGGAACTCTTGCGTTCATATATGCCCTCCCGCATCGGCAACAGATGCCCTTCTCCGGGAACCCTCCGTGAAGGATATTAGGAGGGTGAGTACCCGGAGGAGGGCTTTCTCTGCGGTGGTGCCCCACCTATGGAATGCGCTCCCCAGAGAGGTCTGCCTGGCGCTGTCGTTATTTGTTTTTTGGCTCCAGGCTAAGACCTTTTTATTTAAAACTTATTTTAATTGTTAATTTATTATGTATTTATAGGATTTAAAATTTTTAGCTGAGATGTTACCGGGCTTTTTAATCTTTATTGTATTTAGTGTTATTTATATGTTTTTAATTATGTTGTGAGCCGCACCACAAGGCTTTGTTGCGATGGGGGCAGCATAGAAATGTTTTAAATAAATAAATAAAATATAAAATTCATTATGAAACCATGTTGCAGCCACCTAAGTAAGTTCATGTTTCAACTGTTTTGACATTTTGTTTATTGTATCCCTGTATATACATTCACACCTGCACACAAATGTACTAGAGATATGAAGATCGCCTCAAAACCCTCCCAGAAACAAGTAGGGAATTTGAAAAGGGGGACTTTTCTGAATTTTATGGGCACTTGCCAAATCTCCATATCTCTAGTCATACTTAAAAATGACACAAGAGGAAACAAAAGGGCAGCAGCAACAGATTTTCCAGCAAGCATAATGCCTACCCCAAAAATGAGACAAAATTGTGTTACAAAGTTTACTTATACAAGAACAACATCTAAGAGAGATGGTGGGGGAGGAAAGTTATGTAACACTTCAAATCTTCTATCTCAGCCTGATATTTTCATAAAGGTTAGTATGTTTCCAAAACCTAGTAAGTGCCTTCCAGTGTTATAGAAGCTTCCTACCAAAACTTAAATCATCTTATAATTTGCTTGTAGTACATCAGTTTATGACTGCCAGTGATTGGCAATATCTGTGAGGACAAATAACATATTAGTTAACATCTTCCAGTTCTTCTTTTCACTTCATATCCTTGTTTTCCTTAATAATGATATAAGAGAAATCTAGCAGGGGGTTCAAATTTGACTGTTTCTTTAATTCTACTTATATACATAGATGTAGCTATTTCCCCCTACAGAAGTAGGCTGTATCCACCAAATATGTTTACAATTTGCTCCATTCTTAGCATCCCAGGTCTACGTACTAACTTTTCCAGTTTGCCACCTCCTTGGATGCAGGATAAAAATTGTGCCTTGAGCCAAGCTGAAAGTGAGTAGGAGGAATGGAAAGGGGCACAGCATATGGAGTTCTAGAAAAACATTTCACTCACATTCATCACTGACTTAAAGAGTAAGGTGTAATGAGTACTGCCAGAACGAGTATCTTTTTGTCAGTTTTTGGATCAGAGGCCTTGCACAATAAGGTTGCAATTACAGGCAGCTCAACAGGGTTTGCGTTGCAATAGGCCACTACAGTACCTAGCTATAGGGTTTCTGCAATAATAACCTCGGAGGAAGGTGAGATTTCCGCCTTGCTGGCTGTCAACCTGCATTTGCGATCCTCATTATTTGTTACTCTAGAGCTGTGGCGCTTGTTTTCATTTCTGTTCACGTCTGCGGGTACCCAAAGACGTCGGGTTTGTGGTCTCGACTGAATTGCTTTACGAAGCTCAGAGGAGTTTCCCCTTCAGTGGCCGCCAGGGGTGTGAGTGCTTTTTCTTTTTTAAAAAACGTATTTGTACTATATATTATTTCATCCAGGGAGTGAGAGTAGCTGTGCGGAAGATGGCTTTTGACACGAGGGGGGAAGCCTCCTCCTCTCCTGCCATGTGGGACTGCCGGCATTCGCCCCACTTCCCAGGTTCCGCCGCTCGCCGCCCCTTCGCCTGCGAGGGGGCGCGCTCCTCTCCCACAAGGAATGACGTCATCGCCCTCCCTGCCCGCCCGCCCGCCCGCCCGTTCCCCGGCGATGCACGCGCTGCCCGCCACCTGCCTGCTCCCCCCCCACACACACACACACCCGCGCGCGCCGGAGTAACATGGCCGGGCGGCACGCGGGGCTGAGCTCCCCAAAAGGAGCGGGCCACCGCCGCCAGCGCTCGGGGAGCGAAGGGAAAGCGAGGGGGCGAGCGGGGGCGTGGCTGGGCGCGGGGGCGTGGCTGGGGCGGATGAGAGCCGGGGCGGGGTTGGGAGCTCAGGCTAAGCCGCGCGAGCCGAGTCCGTTTGGCTCGGCAGGGAGTGAGCCGCCGCAGCAGCAGCAGCAGGAGCAGCGGTGGCGGCAGTGGTGGGCTCCGTCTCCTCCTCCTCCTCCCCCTCCTCCAGCGCGGAAGGCGGCCGGCAGAGGCTGAGGGAGCGAGCGCGTCGAAGGGCGGAGGGGGCAGCGGCCTGGCGGGCGACAAAGCAGCCGCCGCACGCGGAGGAGGAGGAGAGGAAGGCAGCGGCGGGCGTCGTCTGTCTGTCCATCTGAGGGGCTACGTGAGAGCAGCCGGCGAGTGGGCGGGGCCTCGCGCTTACATCCGCCGCCGCCGCCGCTCCGGTGGAGATTCCCCTGCCCTCGTCGTCCTCCGCCTCTCCCCCTCTCCCTTCCCGTGGGCAGGCGGGAATGGCGGTGCTGGATCTGGCCCTGGAGGGACTCGCCATCTTCGGGCTTATTCTTTTCCTGGTGCTGTGGCTCATGCACTTCATGTCCATCATATACACGTAAGTGAGGCCTCCGGCTGGCTGCTTCACCGCGCTCGCTCCCTCCCCTGCTGGGCTCCTCCGTCCACGCGCGCAGAGGTGGGAAGGGGGGACGTGCTCCTCCTCGTTGTGCGCCCCTCTCCATTTTTCTTTTCAGAAGCCTCCATACCTTTTCCTTCCCCTCCTCTCTCGCTAGCAGCCTTATCTGGCTTGCATAGGCGAGGCACCTGCCTTGCATGGCTTTACGCAGACCACAACATTGATAAAGCCCGAAGCGTTGGCCATAACACCCAGGCGCTAGCATAGGTGTGTCCCTTCACCTACGTAGACCTGGTTATTTTCTTCCTTGCCAAGCCTCCCTTCCCACACAGAATTTGCTTCATGCATATGAGCGATTTGCAGTTTCTCAAAGCATACATCATTCAGCTTTCTTTATGCCACCCCTTTACACACACTATACATGCATCGATGAGCCTGATCTCATTCTTAATCACAAGACACAGGGAGCACATATACACATTATCATAATCTTTGCGACAAGAGCCAGAAGAAATAGACACTTGATTTAAACAAGTCCAATAGAATTTATGATAGTAATACGTATTTCCACCTCTAATATATATTTATAATGTGTATATGTTTTTCAAGCAATTCCTTATTACCTTTATTCAAATGTCTGTGGATGATCCAGCCTCTCAATGCAGTACAATTTTTCTTCCTAGGAAGTGGGTGCATTCAGATCATGAATCTGAACATAAATTTACTGTGTTAATAATTTATATATGAAGTCTAAATTGATAGTGTCACAAAATTGTGATCAGCCATTCTGCCTTACATGCATGCTTTAAAGCAATGGTTATACAAGGGCCCTGTTACTCTAACATCAGTACTCAACTACAAGTGAATTTTTAACCCATACCTAATTATGCATACACTGTTTCGATTCTTTTTGTTAATGTTGTGTTCTATATTTTCTTTAAGGAATTTGGGGGCAGCGCTACATAGTTGTCTCCTCCCACAATATTTTTGCAGTAAAGACTCTAGCTGGCAACTTGTTTGTGGTTTCTCTGTCTTCTCAGTATAGTGTTAATATTGCAGTGATGCATGTTCTTCACTCTTAATTATAATTTAGCTACAATTTGTTTTGAGTACTGCAACCTTGAAAGGATTTATTGTGGATGCTTTTAAAGCTCATCTGAGGAGGTGGGAATACATAGTCCTGCTGTGCTTGCTTTAGCATGTGAAAGTGGATTGTGGCATGATACAAAGTAGAACGTAATAACATTGCATAGTCTCAACTTCCTGGCTTGTCATTGACTGATTTCCACACATAGCTTTATTGTAGTGCAATGATGAACAAATGCTTGTTGAAGTATTCTTGAAATTCTGTTGAAATTTCTTGGGGAAAAAAAGTTCCTAAAAAAAGTTTTCTAGGCAAGGATGTCTGTCCTTTTCTGGTAACTGATGAATAATAGTATGTATGCAAATAAGTTTGTGGAAGAAAGTATAATATCATTGTTACACTGTTGATTCATTCTCTAGATTTCTTAGGCCTGTAAGTGATCATTTCCTGAGTTTACTCAAAGTGCTTAGAAACTAATGCAATCCCATGAGACTGACACACTCACTGTGTGTGTGTGTGTGTGTGTGTGAGAGAGGGGGGGGAGTGTGATTTGGGGCATCTGTACTGAAAAAAAAGATGAATTTTATGGCAGTAGGCATAGGAATGTTTACAAGACTGAATTATAAAAACCAGTGATGTATTTGTAAGTGGTTATCTTTCAGAAGTAAGGGCTCTTGTCCTATAAGCCAATTTAGGAACTTAATTTGTGAATCAGAGCTCCCATAAGATCCTTGTTTTTTCCAAGAACCCTCCAAATGTAAGGACAATGTATCACGCATCTCTGGGCTCCGTCACTGATTGAAAATTGTCAGTCCCTCCACCATGCTGATGGAATGCTGCTTGTTCCTCTTGTCATATGGCTGCCTGCTTGAAGTTTCACTGCCTTGACAGGGTACCACCCTTAAAGGCAGCTTAGACATAAATTTTAGAAAGATAGGTTCACTGAGCCCTATTAACATATGAATTGCTGTGATAATGAGGGCAAATAATTGTGAGCAGTGTAGGTGGAGCTTTTTTGTGCAATGCAGGAAAATAAGCAGATAAATACACATTTTTACATACGTGAGTGTCAGCACTGCCTCACAATGATTTATTTTCAATATGTGTTAGTGTTAAGGTCCAGTTTGTGGCTTCATTATGGAGTTTTGTATATGGCTTAGAGCTAAACAAAAGTTTCTGGGGTTTTTTTTAGAGGGGCAAGGAAGAAACTGATATATAGTGATTCAGGAAACAAGGCTTGTTGCAATAATACATATTTACAGCCAAGTTCTAGACAGTTTCTCTTGAGCACACCCTGGTTTTTTTTAACATGGATAGCACCTGTCAGAGTAAACAATCTGGGCAGAAGTGGTTTGCTTTTCTATCCCATTGTCCTAAGCTGCTATTCTCTTTAGTGAGCAGAATACAGCTTGAAACCTTTTTCCATTGAGCATAAAAGAGCTTGGCAAGAGTGAATAAAAATATAGCTTAAGGAAAAAAGCCCCCTCCCCCAGTGGTGCCCTGTTCAAGATTGCAGTTCAATGTAGCAGTTTTCAATTTTAAAGTGTGTGTATGAATTATGTGAAAGTGCATAGCATGGTCATAAGGTTATCTGTGTATGGAATGCTTTCTTTTTCACTAATGAAAAAAGTAGATGCCCATATACTTCTATATGCAAATAGAAAAAGTAATTTTCAGAATTGAAAATATTTTTTAAAGTGCTTAAGGAGAAATTGATCAACAAGACATGCTGATTATATTAAATTTTTGGGTTCAAGGCTGGTAGTAGTTTATCACTAAGCTAGTTAGGAGGAACATGTGAAATACTAAGTAAATTGGTGACTCCTAGTTAACTCCTAGACACTTCTGCACTAAACATTTGTCTTTGCTCCTTGGTAAACCCTTCCAGGTGCAATCCTGTGCATATCTAGACAGTAAGTAGTCCTACAGCTCCTAGCCTTCCTCAGCCAGTGTGGGAGTTATTTGTTTATTTATAATTAAATGTACATTTTTAGTCCAAGGGCTCTCTAAACTGAATAGGTTTTTTTCCATCTAAACATGTGTAAGATCCACCCCTCCATAATTTAATTATGAAAAAGCTTCAATATTTTGAAATATCCCTACTTAGGACATTTTTAAGAGTCTATGAGGTACTGAGTGCTTCAGTGGCACACTACGAGACATGTAACACTTCTGTGTTGCTCGAATATACTCTTTCTCAAGGGCAAGAGTTGCAAACACTCCTTTGGCTTTTCTTCTACAGTTATTTTTCAGGTTATCTTAAAATGCTCATATGGCAGTCATATACTTTCAAATATGTATCTTTCTCCATCCCCTCAGCATTTATATCCAACTGGTTGACTGGGCTTGAAGCATCTTATCCTACTTGGTGCTCCTAGTGAAGGAAGAGTAGAATGAATGAGCCATAATTTCTGTCTGGTTGACATAGATGCTCATACATGTGGCATTAAGTTTAATACAATGGATAGTCTCCATTTCCTGCTGTAGGGATAATGGTAGTTTTCAGGTTTTCCTTTTATAGGGAAAGGACCAAATTCTGCTGCTTTTATGTGCTGTTAAGCTGTATTCTGTAGTCCAATTCAGTTACTATGTAGCTGCCATAAAGTTTTTATATGTATTTTAAAGGTAGGAAATTAGATCGTACAAGCTGCAAGTCTTATTTGATTTTGTCCTTGTGTGTTTTCATGTAATGCTTTGTTTTGGCATAACTATATTTTTTTATTGTTTGCCATTACATTAGGGGTAAATTGTTTTAAAAATGCAGTCCTGAATATCTTGCTTCATTTAACTTATTTTTATCTCCTCTAAATGAAGTATTCTCTGCAAATCTGGCAAGAATATACCCTTCTTGGGGAGGGGGGGATCTAGGGATTTTTAGTGGCATTGTCATGCTTGACTCACTGGTGTATTACATGATGTTCACTCTAGATTGACCTCCTCACACTATGGCCCATATTTTTTTACAGGCCAGTTACATACAATGTTGGTATATGTTGCATTATTCCCCCTAAGGTAACATTCCTGCATGTACTGAACTTGTGGTACCATGCTGGTGGGAAGAGGAGAGGTGGGAGGGTAGGGAGTGTCATGTTGTTGTTTTTAATTTTGGGGAGTATTGGTTCTTTTACAGGTAACCTGTAAATAGCACAAACCTTTTGCATTGCTTCAACTGCTAGGTTTAGAAGGCTGTTCTTGACTGACCTGAGAATGGGCTACCTCAGTAAAACAGCAACTCTGAAGCTTGTTCAGCCTTCATTTACTTTGCCTCCTCCTTCACTATCCCCCACTCCATGGTCTTTCTCTCTCAGCCTCTTACTTATTCAGTGAACTGGAGAGTAAATGCAGGGCTGCCCCCCACCCCCAGCCCTTCTCTGTCCTTTGAAATAATAAATTGTGGAACATATTTTCAAATCTCTCCTTTGTCCTCCTGCCACAGGAAACAGCTTTCTGAAAGCATGCCAATATATATATGTTGACTAAGAAGTAAATTACATTGTCTTTAATAGTGCTTTCTCTTGTAAAAGTCAGCAGTGGAGAGGGGCTGCATATGTTTTTTAAAAATGGTGTGCTGATCCTTTTGGCTTCATTCCATGGGAAATAAAAAGATGGCAGCAAATGGTACTACAGCCTGTCCTCCCTTTCTCATTCTCAAAGTTTATTTTGTGAGGATGCAAGCGTGAAAGAAAGAAAAGACTTTTGTTTCCACACCTATGGACCTGTGTGTAGATTAATGAATCAAAAAGGGGGCATTTTCCTGTGCACATTATCTTTCCAACTTCTACTTCTTCCACAGTTGCATTTAATGCATGACACAAGATCATATTTTCAACACAGTGGAAATGACACTGCATTCATTAGCATGTGCCCTAACAGTAGTAAATGCATTTAATAAACAGAA